TGTGTGTGAGGCCCTGAAAATGGGGAAAAAATGAGTTTGAAGTATGCGTTTCGTTCTGACCACAGCATATATATAACTTTATAATTCTCCATTTTTTTACCGTAAGAGAGATCAGATTTCATAGAAAACGGTGGTGCAAAGTGGCGAGTTCGCCTCTCCCATTTTCAACGCCTGAAATGTATGTATGTATTTATGTATGTTTGTGCATGCATGTACAATAAGTACAAAGAAAAATACTATTTCAAATACTAAAAGTATCCTCTTTCGTACTTAACAAATGTATTTTTGTGGTATAATATTTAACACAACTTACAATATTTCGTCTGTGTTATAAAAAAAAACTACAGAAATATTCAATATACTTCATAATCTCTTTATATTTTTATAGAAAAATGCATAAGCGTAGTCCCTTGCAAGTTCTTAGATAAAGGTAAATTGAATAAAGGATTTGAAATTATTATCAATTATTTTTTGTGAAAGCTAGCGATGGTGTTAAAAACGTTTTTAAGGCTTGTAATGTCTGCATTTATTGTGTAACTCTACTGCATTTAAAAGGTCAGCATAAATCCTCGCTAAATGACATCTGAAAGAAACAAATAAGATTATATAAAACCAACACTTGAAATGTCTATTTTTATAAGCCATTTGGCGATGGTTCAAGCATGTGTGTAGCAAATGTTATCAGTGGTCTGATAATTCTGCTACCAAACACTAAGATATATCAGAAAATTGCAGATGCGGACGTTGCAGATAACGCCGATACATTATCATACATTTCTGTTTTTATTGACCCAGTTTATATGTTCAACACATTCATCAATTCATTTATGTTGATTTACTTCTTGAAGTTTATATGATTTCTACACTGTACCACATTACATATAAGCAAAGTCTAACTCCCTTGGCTCCCCCAGTCTTTGCAATAAATTGTCAGGGTAGTTACCCCAACATTAGAAAGTAATAAATATATCTCAGTGAGCGGATAGAAAACGTAATGATCATGACAAACCCATCTTCCTTGGGTAATTTAGGTTTAATTAGTGGTTCTCAGAGTTGCTGACACCGATCCCCAAGGGCCGCGGGGCCACCTAAGGGATCGATGTTTTGCCCAGGTGTCGAAGAGGAGTCAACGCACGGCCAGGGCTTCAAAAGCACTCCAATGGCTAGACTTAAAAGGGACTGAAAATAGCTGCAGTTATAAAGGAGCGATAACTGACTGCGGCGAGAATAGCTGCAGTTACAAGAGGGCGACAGATGACTGGGGTGAGGAATTTATTGGAAATTCATTCAGATATTTGAAGTCCCTTACCCTTGGCGTTTTAAAATGCCTACATGATGGATGTGAGTGTTTGAAACTGAGAGCTTGAGGCAAACTTTAATGCAAAAAAATCTAATCAAATATATGTATCATTTTTCAACGGGATGTATATCATATGATATAATTTATAATTTATTTTAAGAAATGATTGGGAAACGATGGCAAACCTGAGCCCTGTGTCTAATGCAAAAGAGGAACTCTGAACAGCCTTCAAGTGTGCTGACGACTTAACCTCGGTTCAGTGAAACGCAGGTTTTAGCGTTCTGTAACGTAATTTGGTGTATTTAAGATAAATAATTATTCGTACGAAAAATAGCAAATTTCCTTTTGAATTATGCTCCTGGTAAATAACAAAAATAAAGTGTGGGATAGGCTTATTTTACATTTCGCCATACACCTCTAGTCAACTACACTTTTCCTTGTTATTTTTTCTCGTAAATCTTTTACATCATCTCTTAGTTCGAGACAACTTTGTAGCTGAAACAGATTTTGACCTACCTGGCGCTTGACAATACACTTCCCTTCTTTTTCTATGCATGCATCTTCGCTCCATGCTTTTTCTAGTAGGCTAATTCCTTTCGTCGTCCCGCTATTCTTTCATTTTTTATTCGTTTCCTCCTATGTCATTATACTGATGTCTCACTCCCTCGCTTATCACGCCCATGACAATGGAGAAAAAGTAAGAGCTCAGTGCGGATCCCTGAAGTAATCCCATTCTAATTGGGAGACACCTTTTAACACTACTTTCGTCCTTGCTCCTGCGGACACTTCTACTGATAGTCTAACATACTTTTCTGTACTAACCTTTCTCTCGAATACCTTAGCTTGCTGTCGTATGCTCTCTCTAGATCTATAAAGACCTCTCCTTTTCTCTGCATATTATCTAACTGTTCTTCTTTAGTCTATGTTTCCAAAAAAAAGAGTGTTTGTGTGGCAAAATAATGGCAGAGTGGCGGTGTGATTGAGGAATGCCACTGGTGGTGAAATGGAGCAATGGCAGAATGGCGGTGTAGTAGAGGAATGGTAGATTGATGATAATTTTTTCTCCGAATGCTTTAATTTCGTGGGTAAATATTGTATATAAACGATTATAGAATCAAAGAAAGAATCAAATCATCAAAGAAATTCTCTTCAGTAATGGATTATATCGATTACACTTAAATTAATGCGCTCACCTTTACC